CGTGTCAGATTTTAGCTGATTATTCTTGTTGCTCCTGACAGCTTGCTTTAATTGATCAGAAAGCTGATACACCACACACGTCACAGCTAATTCATACCGTCATCTCCTTTTGAAGTCGTTACAAAGTCTTTACTCCATTAGGATTATTCACAACCAGCAACATGTTGTGTTTTGATTGACACTCAGGAGTGCAAAAATACATTTCCTCACTTTGCTGCATCAAAACCTCTCAGAAAATTAGATTTCCTGGTCCATTGCACTGGAAAACTGTGAGCTCTGTTGCCATGGAAACAATGATATTTCCCAATAATTTGATTATTAATCAAGAGGGACGATCAGCGGAAGGCATCTTCATCACACTCAAAAACCGACACCAAAAGGTTTTATTGTGCGTTAGATAAAAAAAGTCCTTTTCACTGAATGTTGCTGATTAGATCATTTCATGGCAGAGATTTTAGATGGATTTGATTCATAATTTGCCGCGCTGAAATATGCTTCGTCTCTGCTGTGTGGATGTGAAGACATGGATTTGGCTGGACTTTAGAACATTTCTAACAGATAAATTATGATAGATGCTACAAAAAAAGAAGATGGAGAGCTGAAGAAAATTATAGAGAAAATATATATCTCATCAACTCAAACCGATCAAGAAAAGTACACAGTCACCTGCATGTCTCATCTAGAGTGTTATCTCGACTCCTTATTTAATTTAGCTTTTTTCTGCTGGGGTGGTGGAAGACAAGGTAAAAAAAAAGGCATAAGGCCCGTTTCCACGATCTAAACTTCTGTTTAATTTTACCGGACCTTCGCTGCACTTGTGTGTCTCTGTTGTCATTAGACCGGCCCTTAAGGCCCTGTCCACACGTAGCCGGGGATCTGCCAAAAACGTAGATATTTTTCTACGTTTTGGCCTGTCATCCCACACAAAAACAGAGTTTTTTCACACGGAAATGGATCTTTTTAAAAACTCCGGCCAAAGTGAAGATCTGCGTTTTCTCCGTTTTGGGTGTCTGCGTGTGGACGGACAAAACCGGAGTTTTAAGGTCCGCAACGTCGCTTTCCGCGACAAAAAAATGCTGACATCACGTGTGCGACCTGTGTTTACACTAGCCGAAAGCATGGATGCCCTCAGAGCTGCGCTCGCTTTATCAATTGTCCAAGCGCTTTCTGCTTGTTTGTTTTTGCAAGCGGAATTACTGCTCCTTGCGGAAGACCACAGACGAAGGACGAGGTTAAGAACGGGGGAAGTACTGCCACCTACAGGTCTGTCATGTCCTTAACAACGTATTTATCCGGGTACGTGTGGACAGTTTTTTTAAAACGAGGTGGTGTGGATGCAAGTTTTTGGAGGGGCGGCGGATATTCGTTTTTAAAAAAAACCCGGCTATGTGTGGACTAGGCCTTAGTCACCATCTTACACGCATGCGTGTGTATGCACACAGGTGCTCACATGGTGCTCTCACATGTATTTACTCTAGTTTTTGACATCACTTTGGGCCCAAATGTAAATATCATACTAAGGTTTACATCCACCACACCTCTTCCCCTAATCCACTCACTTTTCTTTCCCTGCAATGTTAATTCCCTTTTTCTAAGAAAAAGAAAAGAAAAGAAAGATTTTAAATGACAAACTGTAAATTAGAGAACAATGTTCTATTATATTGCAGTAACGCGTGAAATAGCTCCTAAATTATCTCTTTGAGCCAGACCTACATCAACCCCTTTCTCATAACACATAACAAGCGTGTCAGCACATTAATTAAAAAAACGAGATACATTATTGAGCATGTCTTTCTGTGTTGATAATTTAGTGTGAGAATGAAACAGCGTGGTGAAGTGAATTTGGGTGTGTGAGGGAAGCCGGGGAAGGTTGTGTTTATACCACTCTCAAGCTTAAAGCTGCTATAGAAAATCTACAGAACCAGCTAGGTTTTGGGACTCTGGGAGTTTGTACTAGAGTTAAGTGGTTGCAGTCGGCTGTACCTCCTTCTCTGAATTTATTGAGCGGTGAACATCTCACATCAGTGGCATTCTGTTGCTAAAGAACCCAGGGAAGTGGGCGAGACCAACCACCAGGTGGTCCAATGGTTGCTTTCGGTCAGAAATGTGTTATTGGCAGACGTTTTTAGACAGCATCAGGGAGTGTGAGAGCCCAACGGTGCTGTGTGATGTCACATTTTCAAGTCAGATTAATAATTTAGTTCTGACTTCAACTTCGTTGGCTCTCATTGGCCTACTTGTGGCCTGGGAGCCTGCCTTGCCTGTTGGTATGCGGCGCCGCAAGTTATACTCTATTTAATGCATAGTTGTGTAATTGTATAAACAAATATATATCTGAGCCACATTTGCCAAAAAAGGTTCATTAACAAATAATCCCCTCTGGCAAAATCAGAACAGATTCAGATTTTTTAATGCATTTTTTCATATGCAACCAAATCAAAGTGCATAAAGGTAAATAACCTAACGCATTTATGTGATGCAAATACTGAGCTGATCAAACATGTTTTTCCTCTGCAGAACATCTGCCATGAAGGGGACTGGGCATTGTATCACAAGTCTGCTGAGCTCCCACTGTGTTACTAAAGACAGAGCCAGCGTGGCGTTTTAAGAGACGCTAATAACAGAATAAAGAGAAGTGTGTGCAAGCAGAATGGTTGTGTGTATTCAAGTAATACTGATGTAATCATAGACTCAGGCCCAATTAGCCTAGAGGGTAACTCTGTAACAACCCCTACCTCTGGGCATAATGGCCTATTATAACAGCAGTGGACAGAATAAATGAGTGTATATAAGAAACGCATCATGGTAGGTGGGAAAGAACGGGAGGGAAAGAGTCCAAAGAACGAGACAACAGGCTGGGGGAATGCGACCGCATTCTGCTTCTTTATAGATATATCTTAGTTTTGAAAGCTCTGATTCACTCATTCATTTGCTGTGGTATCTAGTATAAACTAATGCCTTGTGAGTCTTTCTGTGGACAAAAAGCTCTGGCGCTCCTGGTTCAGGAACTAGACATTAGCTTCTTGTGAGAAAAAGGAGTGAGAGAAAGAAAATGGTAACATTTGGAGGCTTGTTTATTAATATTCATGATATTTGGACATCTCACCTCTGATTGGCTAGCAGCAATATGACTCTTCCGCTGCCTCCGTTCGCTCTACAATGTTATTGTTTTATCTCCACAAACAACACAAGCCTGAAGGAGTCCTGCCATGTCTTGGTGTTGCCAATGCTAACAGTTAGCTTCTACTAGCCGAGACAAGCTCTGCTCTCTCCTGGATGCTAAATTAACAACAACCTTTCCCGTTCCAGAGCCAGGATGGGTGAGTCCACGAATGCTAGTTGTCAGTGTGATGTAGATCTGTGTGGGTTCTTCTGGACCGAGCGTTTCCTCATCTGTTTTCTTTCAGGCAGTTAATGCAGGAAACAGGGGTAGAAGACCATTTTTATTAGGGATGAGCCGGATACTCGTTTCAGACGAGTATCCGGTATGGATAAAGCATTTTTGACGAGTATAAGCATGAAATGAGTAAAACTCGTAAATATCTGTAATCGTGCTGAAGGAAAATCCTCATTGGGTAACTGACTGTCTTCACGCTCTGTGATTGGCCAGTCAAATAGAGCGTCCGCCCCTCCCTACACACAAAACTGCAGCGGGAGCTCACAGCTCAGTCCGCGTCCGGTCCATCCACGCACACACACAGACAGTAACGGATCTCTCTGTGCTTGTTTCACTGTTCACGTTTCTTCAGTACTCCCTATGTTTTCTTCGGTTTGCTTCTTTTTTAAAGTTACTTTAAAGTTATTTAAAGTTACTTTTTTTGTAACGTACGTGGTGCATTTGACAAGACAGAGCTGAAAACGGCTCGTGCTGCGTCAGTCACTGCCTCCGCTCCGGTCGGGTTGTTTTTCCCTCTCTCTCTCTCTTCCTCAGGATCCACTCCCTCTTTCCTATTCACCCTCTCTCTTTCTTTACATTTTTAATCACAAATGTCTATTTTTTGCTCAATTAAAATATATTTTAATCATTTTCTAAATTCTTTTTTCTATTTTACATGTTTTGTTTTTGTGAAGCGCCCCGTGATTTTTATCTTGAGAGGCGCTATAGAAAAGAGCTTTTCTTCTCTCTCTCTCTTAATTCATGCACTGAAATATTAATGTTCTGATTTTATTGGAAACTTGTTCTGTAATGGTGTAATGGTGATCAAAAACATTTAATCTCAACTCTGAGACTGCTCTGTAAATAGTTTTCAAATAAACATTACACATAGCAACTTCTGATCAGACTTAAAATAACGTATTAATGTAAACCACACCCACTTCCGGGTTAGGCCACGCCCACTCCGAGTACAGATACAGATAATTTAGATGGTTGAACAGATACAGATACAGATAGTGGTGTACTTGCTCATCCCTAATTTTTATGTTAAACAGAGGGACCGGTCATATTTCTATATCCTCAGAACCTCTAAACCTCCAGTCCTAAAATCGCACCTAGTGTTGACCTGTAGAGTGTAGAGAAATTAGATTAAGTAAAAATATTGTTTTGATAGAATCATTTCACTACAAAAGCTAAACTGATTCTTTTAAGAACATTCTAGATAAAATAAAGAAAGCTTCAAATAAAGTCAAAATTCCATCTGTGTATAGAAATAGGATTTTTGGTACTGAGAATTACTTTTTATTTTCATCATTATTATAGTGATGTTGTGCCAATAACAAATTTCATATATGAAAGGAAATTAATGACACAGACAAACATCTCGATGTGCAAAATAAGTCTTTTTCCTTGAATAAATTCAGTAGAATAATTATTTTTCAAGTCCCAGTGGAAATTTGTATTAATACTTAATAGGATATGAGATTATTTAGCTTTGATGGAACTTCTTGTTTGCTGGTGATTATATCAGTGATGTGTGAACATTAACAGCAATGGAGTTTGATTAAAACCTAATGCAGCGTAGCTTCTCGAAAGAAAAGAGCCTAATCTGTGTCAGTCTCACCTGATAACAAATCCACCAGGTAGTTTCTGCCTGCTTTTGACACATTTATATGAACGGTAATCCTGCCGTCATCGAGGGAGACCTCCAGAGTTCCATCGTCCAGGTTACTGAACAGGAGAAGGCCGTCGGGATTCCACGTCCGAAACTGGAAGCTGACAGATGCAGTGTCGTGATTGGCTCGACCTGGCAGCTGCAAGAAGCTTGTGGTGTTGAAAAAGACTGGGAAGGTGTGTGCTTCCACGCAGGTGAAGGACAGGTTACGCTGCTGGGACACAAATGTACATATGAAAAAACAAATTAACAAATAGTTGTCGGTGAGAAAGCTCCCGTCTATGTGATTGTATGATAACCCTAAAGCCTGATTCATGCTTCTCCGTCTGCGTCAGTGCGGAGACACGCAACGTCCTTGCGGACCTGCTGTAGAGCTACGCAAGGACGAACGGAATCGAGCTCTCTTTTCTAAACATCCGTCAGTCGAGATGGACAACGCAAGCTTGTGATTGGTCAGGACGCCGCTGTTGTCTACATCGCCGCCATTGCGCCCTCACAAACATAAAGAGAGCCGAGGATAACTAGCGGCAGACACGGAGCAGCTTGAAGAATACCCCGCGAAAAAACTCTAAAATCTGAACGTTTAATTCCCCCGTGACTGGAGGAGTGAAAAGATATGCAGCAAGCATTTTATTTGTGGACGGAAATGACAGGAAACGTGGGTTTAGAGGTGGCGAGTGCATGAAGAGGTGGAGGAGGATGAGAGACAAATATGTCTGTTAAAAAGTCTCTTATATATAAAAAAACACAATATAAACACACTATCTTGGACCGATACATGACAGGATACCACAGAACAGCGCTACGCCCTCTGTTGTCCTGGCGAGGAATTGCTTTGCAACACTCTCCAGGAGACGGAGAAGTATGAGAGCAAAACGCTTCCGTCAATCCGTGCGTGTCTGTCCCTTGCGGAGCTGACGGAGAAGCATGAATCAGGCTTAACCCTGCTCGAGTTTTGTTCTACGAAGGAAAACAAACCATTATAGAATTTTATAATTTATTTGAACCGAGCCTTTTTTAAATAGTTATCATTGAACTGCCACTCAAGCTACTGATGTCTTGTGCGTGTTTTCAAATTAGAAAATGGGCCCTGTTTTGATTAGAAATAAACAGCTGTGTGTGTCATGGAGAACTAGCTGTATGGAGGTAATGGGCTTGATTAATGCCTCCATTTTTATCAATTAAACAGAGACTTGAAGAAATTAGGCAAATTGTCAAGAAGCAGGACTTTCTTTGGGGTTTAATTATTGTCTCGTGCATTTAATGATAATTAATTGTATTTGTATAGTGGTTTCATAGGGTTCGACAACCCCCCAAGGCACTTTACAACACAGTCAGTCATTCACCCATTTACATGCTGGTAATGATGAGCTACAATGTAGCCACAGCTGGAGCTGGGGCGAAGCCTGCCATACACTGGCACCACCAGTCCCTCTGACCACCACCGGGCAAGGAGAGTAAGGTGTCTTGCCAAAGGACACAACAACAGCGTTCTCTTTTGGGAGCTGGTATCGAACCTGCAACCTTCTGATTCCTGGACAACCTGCTCTACCTCCTGAGCTACTGCTGCCCCAGTTTCTTGAGTAAAATAGATGTTTTTTAATTCAATACTAATACGGTCATCAGTGGGAGTGTACTTTTCTGGGTGAGAGTCCAAGGCCGTGCACATGTGTACCGGTAGCCATTTTTCTGTTAGTTTGAGAGAAAAAAACAAACAACTTGGGCCCACACCACCTCGTCTTCAGTGAAAACATCCAGTCTACTCTGAACAACGTTCATAGCCATGTCAAGCCTGTAGATGGCCGTAGCTCCCAAAATATTTGGCTTCTTTGCTGAAAACATTCCTTGGACGTAGAATAACTAGGTGGTGGACAGCAACCATTTTTAACGTCGTCCTTCTCTTGTGGTCTTCTACACAGAACATTGGTTGTGTAAAGACAGATTGCACATGTCAAATCAGAGCAGTTTTCTAGTGACATTTAGGGACTTTTTAGTAGGTAGTGATGGTACAAACGAATGCTGACAACGGATAATTTGAAAACCTCCACTTTGGTCCAAGTTTTTGAAATAATCTATTTTGTTGTAGCTTTTGTGTAGATGGCATGTCAAATACCCAGTCATACTGAGCAGATCTACATACACAAGCCCATCTAGCCTGTTTGAAATAATTAAAACAGCTTATTGTCCAAAGACACAAGTGAGCAAAGTGACAATCAGAGCTGCTGATGATCAAAAACAGCTAAAGAATAGGAAGCATGATTACCAGCTCAGACAGATATTTTAAGAATCTCTTGAATTAAATCTGAAAGTGTGACTGTTGGAACACAATTCCATTGTCACGTTTTGGGAACTTACTCCTTTTCACTTCAACAGCATTACCCTGCTGCGTTGGCAGCTTTCAGGTGATAAAAGCATCTGTGCCTTGATAATTAATGGTTACAGAAACACATTTGACCAAATCTCAATATACGACAGCTGTAAAGAAATTGTTGTCCATGAAACTTTGAATAACTTTTTCAGGACATGGCCTGTTCACCATCATATCACCGACTTTCAAAAATCTTGTTTCAGCAATCAGCTGACACATACAAAAGCTGGAAAATTCCCTGACAAAAATAAGATGGATACTCAAAATACCAAGGAAGGCTATGAGAACATAGCCAAGCGCATCTAAGCAGCCATTTCCTTAGTGCTTAACGTGATGTGGAAAAGGCAGTTTACAGAAATTGTGGTAGTAAAACAGAGGACATGAGGACAAAGTAAAGATTCCTGGAGGACAGTTTGTGTGATTGCCAAGAAGATAATTTAAACTCACTTTATATGTGGAAAATTATCGGGTTCCTATCGCGATACAGTTCTTGCAAAATCTTTGCCCTTAAAATCTGAAAGACAACTTTTGCAAAAAGTTGATTTGGGGTTACATATATTTCAAATGTACTTTATTTGGCCACAAGTTCCTACCTGTGAGTATCTACTGCCTGTTTAAACACTCCAAACACAGAAATAAGATGTCCATCCATTTTATGTCAGTGTTTTAGGAATTATGTATTAAGCCAGCTTTACAAATTGCAGAACTCATATAGGTATGCATTGCAAAGACACTTTGCTAAGTCTTACAAAGCTGGAGGTGTCGAGCTTCTTCCGGCGGGCCAGGTCTGTAATGTTGTCTCCGTTGTAGTTGATGCTCTCCATGCAGCCCTTGAAGTTTTTTTTCCCGCCTCCCACTGGCTTCCCACTGTACGGCATCCCCCCAAAGCTCAGCTAGAGAGACAAGCAACAAGGAGAGAAACGTTTACAGAGTGAACTTGTTTATTAAAGAGTTTCTATAGTCCCAGAACAGACCAATTATCACTTTAAGTGTTTGTTTTAGGATTTCTCTGATATATAAATAGCAGCTTTTAACATCTGTAGCTATTTTGTTGTGCTTTAAATGAGGAGTTTAAGAAAAAACTCTGCCCAACTGCTTCTTGGCCAGATCATCGTTGTAAGTGAGAATGAGTTCTCAATCGACTCATGTGGATGAATAAAGGTTAAATAAAATACATTTTTAAAAAGTGCATCTCTTGAACCAGAATGTTAAATTATATAGTTATTTGGGTTAGCGTAGATAAATAATTGGCTGGGCTAAATTTTGAGATGAAGTTTCTGTGCATGTTGATCAGTTTTTGGAAAAACTTAATTTGTAAAGAGATCCGATTTGGGCAGTGGCGGTTTGTCCTACAAGCAACCCAGGCAACCCCCTAGGGCGCCATTCAGAGGGGGGCACCAAATTTAGTCCCCTCCCAAAATAAAAAGCACAATATTACACCACATAACTGTGGCAAGCTGTTCCTATGTTTAAAATGCTATCTGATTGGATGGTGAGATCAAATCAAACAGACCAATCAGAAAGCAGATGTCCTTCAGACCTCTCTCATAAGGCCCACACGCAAACCCTGGCTTTAAGCCTCAGATTGGACCATAAATGCTAATACAACCTTCAAAATGAGATTTTTTAATAACTGTTGAATACGAGAGGTGTGCAACTCTTTATTTGCCTTCATTATATGTTTATGTGTCCTTGTTTACATTTTTGTCTCGACAGCCAAAAAACAACATCATATCATCTGCAAACAGACTATCTAGGCTAACTTTTGACCAATAAAAACATACAACGTAATTAAAGTGCTGAGTTTAGCGTGCAGATTTCTAACTCTAAATGCCTGTGGCCACACCTCTGCTTCTTTTGTTGTTTAACTTTTTTGTTTAAAAAAATCCTAGACACACAAACTCCTTTCCAGACCTGCATTCACTTTATTTTGCAGGCAGTTACAGAGCTCAACTACAAACATATGTTTTTAATGACTCCAAATAATCGACACCATGTTTGTGCACAACAGATAAAATACTGTACAAATGTGATCATAGCAGCAATAAAGCAAAGCATCAAATCAAGAAGATGATGGTTAGTGAGGAACAAATAAGATGAGAAAAACACCAAAATGGGAACGTCGGGAATAATAAACATGCATCTGGTGGGAAGAGCCAAAGGATACAGGACTAATGAAAATATAATCCGTGTTTCATTTTCCTCTACGGTTGTACACATGTTCATTTCTCGTCCTCTTTACACACAGCTCTCACCCTGAAGGAAGCAAAGGTAATAGTCGACGGGTGTTCTGTCAGTGTGTGCGTTTTTGTCAATGTTAGCATTGTGTGTATGTGTCTTTGGTGACTTCTGATAGTCTCGGTAGATACTGCTAAGGGTGGACTTTATTGCACCAGGATATTTAGTCTACAAGCCTAAATGGAAGCTGAAGATGATTAAAAATGAAGGAAGATGGAGAGGTTGGACTAAATGGAACACACACGACTAAAAGCTGGTGACTGTTTTGCTGCTTGTAAAGAGATTTAATCTGGATGCATTTAGGATCACGACACAAACGCCTCTCTCTCCTCACACATACACCCTCCTGGTAGAGTACACCCAGTCGTATAGATTTCCCCGAAGATCCTTTAATTCAACAGCTTCAGTTTTAATTGGACTGTGCTTTGTCCTGCCCCATTTCTCAGCATCCCACTTAACACTGGAATAGATCAGCCATGTCAGCAAAATTCACAGTTAAACGCAAGCATATCAATACAAACACAACAAAAAACAAACAAATGCACTTATAAACTTATTGAACACACTGATACCAATATGCAACGCATGATCAATTTCCTGTTTTTGGTATCATCATTTAAAGAGCAAGTCACCCCCTACCAGAGTCTTACTCAACTCCCACTTCCTGATTGAAAAATGCAACAAATGCTGTTGCCTAGCAGACCGAGAGGGCGGAGCCGCTAACAAATACACACACTCACAACATTGTGACATCATAATCTACCATCTAACATCATAGTGTACCTCTTAGCCAATAGCGATGGCAGATTTAAATTGAAACGCAGTGCTGAGTTTTTAGCTGACGACGGTGCAACACTGACAGTTTTAGGCAGAATATTTAAATTTTAACTAAGATGCACTAAAGTGCCAAATTATTGACTACATTTTTCTACAGCACAATTGGACACTCATTTATATAGTTTATCAGCAAAAAAATGTTGATTTGAAGTGACTTGCTCTTTAACCCTTTAATGCATAATGGTCACTACAGTGGACAGGTACTCAAAATTGTTAGTTATTTATTTTTGCTATTAAGCACAGCTGTTGAAGACTTTATTGCATGTGAGCCTCTCCATTTGGACTTCAGTAAGGCAAGCCAACATATTTCATGTTCAGAATGCACGCTGTCCACTGAGGTGGACATGTAATAAAGTATTTGTAAATTAACAAAATGTTACAAAAAATATTTGTTGAAATTTGTTTAATTCACACCTAAAGATGAATGAAAAAAATTGTTTAAAAAATCATGGTTGAAGATCTCATAATTCATGCATCAGAGGGTTAAATTCGTTGCATTCCAAAACTGGATGACATAATTAAGTCAGCGCGCTGAGATGCCAATACCTAATTTCCTGTGTGGTATCAGAGTACTGCACAGACTATCAGTGATGAGTCGTTTGAATGCTGGTGCACATCAGAACAGTGATGAAGCCAGCAGAGGTGCTGGATCGGGGCATCACAAGGACAGAGACGTACTAAATGTGCACGGCTTTTGAGATAATTGGATAATCGTGTTTGAGCCCCCGGCTATTTGTGAGCATCTAGATTTGTCTGCAAACGGTTCACATTAACAGTCACACTGTTGTGCACAAATCACTGGTACAGCCTGAAGCTTCAACTCTCTTTTCAGATTTGAAAGTATGAATACGAAACTTCCAAATATCAGTAAAACTAAAGCCAGAAGCTAGTTCGAGCAGGCTGCACACGTTTGATTTTTACAACATGAATACATAAATTGTCTTTTATTTATTTTTTAATGAGAGAGCTTTTGATATCCACTGTATGAGGAAAACCAATAAAATCACAGTGTTTAATTCATTTTTCAGACCTACTTAGGTTTTATTCAGCATTATGGGACTGGGGAACCTTGAACAGTCTTCCACAGATGTGCACATGCAAGCAGAGTTTTTCATTGGGTGGCCTTGCATGCAGCAATCAGTGACTGGACCAACTTAGCATTTAAGTAGACTATCCTTTGATTGTCTAACACGTCACATCAAAGTAAAATAATAAGATTTCAAATTTTCTTTTCCACATATCAATCCATCCATTTTCGTCTGCTTATCTGGAGTCGGGTCGCGGGGGCAGCAGCCTAAGCAGAGATGCTTGGACTTCCCTCTCCCCAGCAACCTGGGCCAGCTCCTCCAGGGAAATCCCAAGGCGTTCCCTGGCCAGCAGAGAATCATAGTCCCTCCAGCGTGTCCTGGGTCTTCCTTTAGTCTCCTCCCAGTTGGACGTGCCCAGAAAACCTCACCAGGTAGGTGTCCAGGAAGCATCCTAACCACATGCCCGAGCCACCTCAACTGGCTCCTCTCAATGTGTAGGAGCAGCAGATCTACTTTAAGCCCCTCCCAAATGGCCGCGCTTCTCACCCTATCTCTATAGGAGAGCCCAGACACCCTAAGGAGAAAACTAATTTCGGACTCTTGTATCCACTATTTTCCCGTATAATGTCTTACATAAAGTAACATATGCATCCATGTTCTTCATTTATCTAAACTCCAGTTATGGAGGTCCTCAAGATCTTGTCCTAGTGGCATGTGACCAGAAAGGTAACATCCTACCCACCTCAGTGAACTTATTTTAATGTGGAGAAGAAAAGGCTCTACTCTGAGACTCCTCACCTTCTCGCTAAAGCTGAAACCTTAAAGATCCATCCTACTGAAGAATCCCTTTTCAGCTGCTTGTATCCAGGATGTTATCCTTTCAGTCCTGATCCACATCTTCTGCACATAGTTGGGGGTTGGGATCTAGATCAGCTCAACTTCTTCAAAGTCCTCCTTACAGAAAACACAGCTCTAATAGTTTTTGGTCCATCTCTCATTCCATGCTATGTGTGAATGAGACACCAAGATACATAAACTCTTCCACCTGAGGTGGAAACTCACTCTCCATGCCAAATGCCAGTTTATGATGCTGGGACCCCATCCTTGCTTTCTCAGTTTCATAATCACTAGACTGTGACTCTTCCCAGCAGGTGGTGGGCCCATGTGGAGTTGGCTTCCTGAAGCATTTTCAGGCTGAGCAAATTTCTTTTTTTTTTTTTTTACAATATGCAACATGCAAAGCTGAAACAGATGAATTAACCACCTCATATTTTAGAATAGAGCCTAAAATCATTTTGGTACAAAGGCAAAATGCTTAGCACAATTCGACTCATATATTCCTATCAGCTGCTGAGCATCGACACTGAAATACTTCAGGTGGTTAAGTTTACAAGGCTTGTTCGTCTCTTCATTGTTTAGCAGAGATTGTTATTTGGTACCCGTGAGCTTTGTTGCTTAATGCTCAATATACTTTATTCCTTACCTCATAGTCTAAATCCAGATGATCAAACTCTCCATTGGTTCGGAAGTGCTGAGTGTGTCCATTCAAGGTGAAGTTGACATTGCGACGGTAGCGCTCAATCATCACTGAGTGCCAGTGGTTGTCATCCAAGAGACTGCCGGTGGTTACAGAAGTGTGACCCAGGATGGAGCCATACTGGTTACTGCCTGTAGCACACGTTTTAAAATATGAGTTACGAAATGGCACCAAGGACAGAGTAAAGCAAGTCAAACATTTGCATGTGTCTGGTAAACAGATCATAAATATACCAAATCATGTGAAACTCTGTTTTGCGCACTCAGCAGGAGATCAATTAGTGCTTTTGAATGACTTTGTTTGAATGAATGACACATTTGCTGCTCACCCAGGTTTATCTGCAGCAGTAGCTTAGCCTTTCGAAGTTCCAGGGTGATGTAGTCTCCCTGCTGACCCTCCCCGTGGAGAATGACACCCTCACTTTCTGATGTCTTAAACCTCAGTGCAATAACGTCCTTGATGATCTTCATCTTCTTAACCTGGAGAAATGTTGGAAACAAAAATTCTCAAGGTTTTTCACGTCATAGGTGGCCAACTTTTTACAGAAATCTTTCCACAAAATTCTGTTCTTGTGTCATGGATTATGAAACTTTACGTGATGATTATGACATTTGTATTTTCTATACAGAAAGTGTTGGAAGGACACCTGAAAAGTACTTGTACCTTGAATCGGTATGAGATTACACCCTGCCCGTCAAAGTTGATAACGTCGGCCCCTACAAGAGATCAGCAGCAAGCACATGGTTAGAGAAAATGAAATAGACTGCGGGTCGTAATTACAAAATATGTTCGAATAAAGACACAGAATAATGAGGTATAGAACATAATTGAAATGTGCAGTCTTATAGCTAAGAAGTGTAAGGCATAGTGGGTGTAAATAAAAAAAATATGATGTACAAATCACTGATTACCTCAATGCATTATCAGATCAAAGATTGTAAAACACTTTAAAAACATTTATGAGGCTAATTCTATTCCACAGACCCTACAAAGTTATGCTTTTAGTTAGTTTTTCGCATGAAACTCAAACCAACACAAAATATGATACAGCTACGAGCATCACAATAATTTGTTGATAAGAGGGTGTTTTATTTCCAACAAGGAGATAATACTGTAAAGGAGATCATTCAGTTATTGGTGTCTGGGTTAGCTTCATATGCCTCTATGTTATTTAAAACGCCACCAGATTGTAAATGACTGTTGCAGGATGTAGTTGAAGCCTAGGAAGGTAGTGGGATCCCATTTACATGATGGATCAACAAGGAATTTGAGCAAAAACAACTTTTACAGCTGAGTTGATGTGGTTTATTATCATATTCTTTCCTGTACAGGTGTGGCTAACTTGGCAAGAATTTAGATCAGGTCAGGACTGGCCATGCTCGTCTGATGCCCAGTCTTAGCCATTAGCAGGTCTGCATTCTAACACGATTTAGAGACTCGTGCCAGTAAAGGGCCCAGGGTATGAAGCAACCATGGGCTTTTGTAAGATTGCTATGGAAACTTGAAGTGCAAGAGAGAATTTCATTAGTTTGGAAAATACCGATGAGTGTATAGCATAAGGAAAACATTGACACCTATGGTTTTTCAAATTTGTGGCATTCAAGCAACTTGGGTAGTTATTGGATAATGTAGCAGTGTTACAGTAAGAAGTATTATGACCATCCTAAAGTTAAAGTTAGTTTCTTACTGGCTTTTGACTGTTGGTGAGAAACTGTTTATTGAATAAAAACAGGGTTATCCAACAAGTCTTGAAACATTTGCAAGGGTTCTCAAACACCTAGCATGAGTTTGAAAACATCGTTGTTGTGTTGCCTGCAACTAGTCAATGCTCAAACTTTGTGCATTACTAGGTTCTTTTTTTATAAACACAGAAAATAGTTGTTTTACCTTACTTTGCTGACGTTTCGACTGCTACTGCAGTCTTCTTCAGAGCTCACTATGGTGGCGAGCTCTGAAGAAGACTGCAGTGGTAGTAGCAGCATACTGACTCAAGGAGAAAATATGAATAGAGAAGAGTGTCGATCACTGATTGGCTAGTGGCTGGCATTACTGGTTGCTCCACTGTTTTTCGCCTGCTGCCTCACGGTCTCATTGCCCAGGACCTTTTCCAGATTCAAAGACTGATAAAGAGCTACAGACTGTGCAAAACACCACTACTATGTCAGCCATTGTTGTGCTGGTTGTGTTTTTTCTGTCACTACAGATCAACTTGTACTACTTTTGTTTCAGGTACAGATCACCCTGTGGTTGCGTGTTGGTACTACAGAATAGTAGTTGCTCGCATGGCGAACCACTCATATCAAAAGCCCTCAATTGCTTCTCAGTAGTTCTATGTGTAAGAAATGCAAACTATGATAGACATTCAGGAGAACTACATTTTGGAATAAAAGGGGTGGACTACAACAAATTATTACAAGTAAAATTGCAAGACATCAAGTGTCGTAAGGTTTTTGCAGTTCTATCGTATGCACCATGTGATCTGATGAAAACGTTTTGCACGCACCAGTTCAGTGTGTTTACTACTGAAAATTAGCATATTTTCTTACAGTTCTGTGTGTATGTTAGTCGCAAACAGTCATAGCTCAGGATACCAACTTCACAAGGACACATCAAAACAACAGAAAGCTTAATAAGCATGATCCCATGTGTATGTTCTTAGGGCCTGCACATTTACCATAGACTGTTGCAAACAGCTGAATGCAGAAATGAGAAGAACTGATGTTGAAGTCTGTAGAGAAGTAATAAAGTGGAGGGCTTGAGGCACCCCCTCAAACTTTCTGTTGTCATTTAGAGTTTTCGTGTAACTGCAGAGAACCATTGTGTGTGTGTGTGTGTGTGTGTGTGTGTGTGTTGTTGGAAATTTTAGAGTGTAGGATACTATAATGCTGCTTGAGAAAGATTTAATGCACAGTCATGCTGTTTCTCAGTCTAAAGTGCTTTTGATGTTTTACTGATATGAAATGTGAGAATATGCCAAGCATGCCTGTTGTGATGAAGATCTCCCAGTAAATAATAAAAATCCTGTCTCCTCATATTGTTTGTTGCTTCAGTTCACACTCAAACTTTCTTTTCTTTAGTACCTCTTCAAAACCTTTATTTTTTGCTTTCTTTTATACTTTTTTCATGCAGACAGGGGTAGGGTTAGGGGTCAGGGGTTAGGGTTTCAATGTTCCAATGCTTCTAGAACACATCTAAGCAAGCAAAACGGAGTTTCCAATATTAATAAATAAAAATAATTGACATTGTTTAATTTGACTCAAATCCAATGTTTATTACACACACCAAAACCAGGGACACACTTGACAGCATAAAGAAAACAAATTATGAATGACTATAAATGAATGTAAATGCATCAAAGTGAAATCTTGTTAATAATCTGCAAACTCATCTGCCGGTGTAAAGCCATCCTACACAGACAGGCCACCTGTTTTACTGTGAGGTGGGTCAAGGCTGTAGTTAACTGGCATTTAGTAGTTATGAAGTTAAAGTGTGTCCATGGAAACAAGTGTGAGCCTGTATGTGAAGCAAATTAAAGGACTTCAACAACAAAAGCAGGCCGCCCACAAAATGTCATGTTATATCTATGAGGAAAGAAAAATCACATTTATTTGACTAAAGTTGATGAATATTTAAGCTACTTAAATGTAATGAGGACATTTTTTTCAGTTGCAGCTGTTTTATTGTTTTCATCATGCCGTGTTCAAAATCCAATCAAGAAAACGCCTTTAACCTTTTTTGAATTTTATTTGAATTTCTCGACGATCATACGGAGCTCTAGAAATGTGTGCCACGGTAATATGAACACAATGTATCGTAATACACTAGATCAATCAAAATACACCACAATGCATTGAAACTAAAACTAACATCACAGTTTTCAGAGATTTTCACACTTATTGAAAAGAACATAATGTTTTTTTATGTCTTAACCCTCCCACTGTCTTTTTGGGTGACCCCGCGAGGAAAGTTGACCACTGAGCAGGAATGATGGTTTATCCCTTGAGGTCCACGTAGCAGGGGTGAGGAGTGAGCACCACCTCACCCCTGCCATGTGGACCTCAAGGGATAAACCATCATTCCTGCTCAATGGTCAACTTTCCTCGTGGGGTCACACCCATTAGGACAGTGGGAGGGTTACATGTAAAGTAATAAACGTTAATCACATGAAGTGAAGAATAATTTACTGAGATTGCTCTAAACATTTTTTTTGATTAAGCTAAAAATGCTAAATCTACATTATTCAATTCAATTCAAGTTTATTTAAATAGCGCCAAATCACGACAAGAGTCATCTCAAAGCACTTCACATAATAAACATGCCAATCCAGGCCAGTTCATGCTATCAGGAACCCAGCAAATTGCATCAAGTCACTGACTATTGTCAGTGACTTTACAGCAATCCTCATACTAAGCAAGCATATAGCGACAGTGGAGAGGAAAACTCCCTTTTAACAGGAAGAAGCCTCCAGAGGATCCTGGCTCAGTATAAGCAGCCATCCTCCACGACTCACTGGGGATAGAGAAGACAGAGCACGCACACACACACACACACACACACACACACACACACACACACACACACACACACACACACACACACACACACACTCACACTCACACTCACACACACACACACACACACACACACACACACACACACACACACACACACACACACACATTAACGCACACTTGTTTTTCATCAATACATTTGCTGTGATCTCTGGCATGAATACATGTTTAGTGAGTCATTCTCTTTCAGGAAGTAGAAGTTAACCAGAGAAGTGGGCAGGATTATGAATCTTACTCATTATTAATCAAGATATTCAGACGTTTCTCCTCTGATCCACCAGTCATGAAAGCAGTCGTGTAACATAATAGCAGCCTTTTCCTAACAAGCTCATTCCCAACCGGGAGCATTTTGGACGCAGAGCGAGAGCGAAAGCGTTCCACGCAGCTGATCTCGTGATTTAACAAAACCAAGGGAGGAATTGCAACGTCAGGCATGCCTTCAGAAGTCCACACACAATAATAAGCAAGGAGAAAGAGTGCTGCATGTATTAAAAAAGGTCTGGTTTATTTTCTGTGCTGTTTACATTGGTTAGATTTAATGGCATGTGACTTTTATTTTGAAAATGTCTGGGTGTTTTAAACTGCTTTTGTGTTTAACTTCCTGTCTGGCACAAACTTAAATATGGAGTTTGATGTGTTTTGGTAACACAACAAGTAAAAAATAGACTCAAAATGTAATGATGGCGTCCTCTCACTTCTGGGGCACGTCCAAAACATTACACTTTGCTGCCGGTGGAAAGGCACTCTAACGCCACTTTAACGGTGACTAATTGCTGCGTACGTTTTGTGATGCTTTCACCTGAGGTGGAAAGAAGGGGTTACAGTGACTACGTTTGCTTTGCAATGTTGACTTGATGCCTTATCTTCAGAAATAACACAAGCCTGAATGAGTTCTGCCAGGTTGTGGGGTTGCTACTGCTAATCAGTGTTGGGAACGTGACTTTAAAAAGTAATTAGTTATAGTTACTGATTACTTTGTCAAAAAGTAACTCAGTTACTAACTGAGTTACAAGATTATAAAAGTAACTAATTACCAAGAAAAATAACTACTTAGTTACCTTTTTCATTAAAGCATGGAAGAATTACTACAATAGTGAAATATAAATGACTAATGACTGCAACATAATAAAATGTATGTCTAAATG